TGTTAGAACTTAATGATTATCCTAATTATATTTTAGATTTTTTATATTTAAAATTAGATGTTTATCATGTATTTGATTGTGTTTATCTGCAGTTAGTTACACGAATTTAGATATGGGATGAAATCGGATAGGGATGAAATATGGTTTAAGAGTTTTTAAGAGTTTTAGCCAAATGTTTTATGATATAGTATAGATATATATATGATAAGCATTGGATCAACTACATAAATTTTGGATTTCATTTTTTGCAACAAAAATTGCATAGATATGTCATGATTAATTTACAKTAAAATTTTACATTTTGCTGCATTGCATGAGAACTTAGCAAGTATTGTGAATCGAAAGTTTAGATATACACAATATTTTATTGAATAAAATAACAATAATATTCAACGTTAAGAKCCCGTTTGGTTTGCATGATTATTTTTTAGTGATTTGTATTTCATGGATTGGATTTGAAACCATTGGTGTATTTGGTTTATATGATTCGGAATGAAATTATATTTCATTATTTATAAATAATTTATAGAAAAAATTATAAATAATTGAATTACAATTTTATTAATCGATTATTACAAAACAAATGTTTTTTAGCATTTTTCAAAACCTTATCCAATACAATCTACGAAATTCCSTGAAATCCCGAGCACTCCCTGAGGATTTCAAAATCCCATATTTAAAGTATTTCAATTAAATCCAAGGATTTCAAATACGGACAATCCAACAAACCAAACATGGGATTTGAAATGCAAATCCCCCAAAATCCATTTCATTCCTTCAAACCAAGTAGTTTAACTGGTAAAATTTTGTTAATTTGCTTTCAATATATCACCGATTCAAGTTCTTTCAGGGGTACTATTGGATTTGTGATCATGTTGTTAACCATTTATATATTACCATCACATTAGTTAAGATGCACATAAACTTTCTGATATATATGTACTGGTCATGGTTACCAGAACAACAATAAATGCATCGGATTTTTTATTTTACTTTTTTTTAATTTAATAATCCAAGTATTAGTTGACTATACATTGTTTTTTAGCTTAGGAATTCTTTGTTTTTAACTATCAAAACTTGTTTAAAATCAGATATTTGTGGCCTTAAAATGGACTGGATACTTCTTCTATCATTCGTGTTACAAAACCGTGATATGTAGTATGGTTAGTAGGGGTGTGCATCGGGCGGAAAAATAAAAAACCCCGATCGGATTTCGGATATGAAAATCAAGCCCCAACTTTTGGATTTCGGGTTCGGGTTGATCGGGTTTCGGGTTGCGGTCGGTCGGTTTCGGGTTAATTATAATGCAATATATATATATATATATATATATCCAATTGATTTTGACGATGAATTCAATCGATTTAGAGAATTGATAAATCGATATTATGCTTATAAATTAGGAAAAAAAACACGACCAACTAAAATTTTAGAATTTTCAAAAGATAATTAGATAAATAAGTATATTTATATAGTATTTAATATATATATATATATATATATATATTTCGGGTTTTCGGACGGATCAGGTAGGGGTGAATGCGGGTTGGGTTGGACGGTTTACAACAATTTTACAACCCAACCCAATTATGGCGGTTTGGAAAATTTCAACCCAACCCAACCCAACCCATTCAAAAGTATAATCCAACCCAACCCAACCCTTGCGGGTTGGGTTGGATTGGCGGGTTAGTAGTTACGTAATTTGACGAATGAAATATTTCATTAATCTTAAGTTTATAGACCATACTATAAAGTGTTCTATCTAAAAATGTTGCAATAGGTTTATAGAACGTTTTTTGACGTTTCAACAAGTGTTTTAGAATGATCTTTAAATAAAATGTCGTATTAGTTATTTTATAGAAACATTTTGAGAAGTGTCCATTAAACTCATCTATTTATAGGACACCTATGCTCATATGGCATTTTTTCAAGTCGTGTTGTATAAAATAACTAATACGACACTTTATTTTAAAAACATCATAGAATTTGTTAAGACGTCCAAAACCATCCTATAAACATATTGGAACTCTTTTAGATAAGACATTTTTCTAATGTAACTCTTTAAAAACGTCATAGATTGATGGATTCGTCAATCAAATATCTATCAATATCATTCATATTTTCCAACATATCAATTTGTTGTTGCTGCAAAAAAAAAAAAAATCAATAATTTTTCATATTAATTAGATTATTTGTCATTATTCTTTGATCGTGAATCTCTTTTGGTAACCTATACGTTTAGTTAAAATGAAACAAAATATAGTATCAATAAAAATTATATAAAATTTATACATTATTAATATATATATATATATATATAATTTTATAAAAATTATATATTAGCGGCGGGTTGACGGGTTGGGTTAGCTCAACCCAATTTCAACCCTCCTAATTAGCGGGTGGGCAGTTTGGCGGGTAGACGGGTTGGGTTTAATTGGGTTGTTGGCGGGTTGGGTTGGGCGGGTTTCGCGGGTTGACGGTTTTTTGTTCACCCCTAGGATCGGGTGGCCAAAAATCAAACCCAAACTTTCCCAAAAAGTCAGTTTTCAGAGCATTCGAGTTTT